TAAAACCCACACAGTAGTATTTAACCCTACTACAGGTGTGCTTATATTACATGATGGATACTTGCTAAAGCTAATCTCTGACCAAACCACCAAGGGCCCAAGCTTCAGTATGTTCTTGGCTGTCCTGAACGAAGATGAACTAAAAAATTTTTAAGAGATTCTAGAGATTAGGCTGTGAAAGAGCAAGGTATCTCTTATTCCTTTAGATAAGTTTAAAAGTGTTATGGCACATGCCTAAACATTTAAGTTTGGCTACATACCCGTGGAAGGTGTTATTGGTGGTCTGCCACGCTTTCGCTTAGTTTCTTTCACATTTTCCTGTGGACTCTTTACCTTGTCATTTTCAGGCTTTTTCTCAATTTGTGTATCTACTGAATATTCCATATCATTCTCTGATATATTCTCTTTATCTTCTTTTCCATTCTTAGATATATTCTTTTCTGAGATCTTGCCTTTTTCCGAGATGACTATAAATTTTCCCTCTTTATCAGGTTGTTTAACTCGTTTCTCAGTCTTTAATGTCTTTTCATCTTCTTCTTTCTTTGCACTACCTGTTGCTTTCCTCTGCTCTTTAAATTTCTCCTGGTTTTCAGGAGATGATGGAATTTCATTACCTCTTTCCTTAGGCTTAGCATCACCCACAATATTCTAGAATAAGAAGAATGACAGGCAAATCAACTCATTGTAGTCTAAAAGCCACCCTTCCCACTTTGTATTTAGCAGACCTGCATCTTTGTCCAATTTTTCAAGTGATAAAGGTACACGCTCTATTGCAACCCACAGATTAAAACTTAGAGGCACCCGAACTCCCGAAAGACCTGTGCAGTGTGAACAGGACATACTGTGTCTCTACTAGCTTGTGCAGTACTACATAAAACCTGCTTGGGACACTGCAGAAGGAGTGGGAGTCAGGAGCACAGAAAACAGGAAACGGCTCAATCACTCCGACGTGCCAACTTTTTTCCTTTACAGAAGAGTCTCATTCAAAACAGACATGCAGTTTGCTTGCCCTCATCACTGCTGCAGATATTGCTAGGCAGAGTCATGTAAAGCAACTGCAATCAGCAGTCATCAGGAACTATGTGATGTTAGAATTTAAGCATTTAAATTTAAAAACGAAACTTGAATTTTCTTCTGCAATTTGTGTTCAGCATGAGAGGACATGAAAACCCTTAACAGTCCCCAGCCAGCACGCTACTGAGGCAACTTTCAACTGCCAGCCTATTTCCCCATAGTTTTTATTGGGTAACACCAGGCCAGGAAGAACACCCTGTATCAACAGCTTCCTGCTACTCCATGTCCAATCCCCTTTTGTGATCAGGCTTTATATTATACCACTGGAAAGGAGCAAGGAGGTTGACATATGCTGATTATGTTTTTTTCCCCTTCCAGTGATCTTGCTACTGGCTGCCCCAGATAAACAGAAATGTTCTAGCTTTGCACATGGATTAATATTTGGTCATGTGTCAACACTGCCTTTAGTTCAACTAACTTCTCTCTTCTTGTTGCCTAATTGAAGCATGAACCATGCTCCTTCCCAGACACAGTTCTACAGGGCACAAGAATCTTCAACTATGACCCAGGATCAGAGGACAGGAAAGACTAAATACCTCAACACCTTCTTGGGGAAAGAAGGTGGAACAGGTCATTTAAGCTATATGAAATTCTGAGAATCCACTTAAGACTCACTATTTCCTTGTACTGCACTACATCTTGCCTCTTCTCACCCCAATATTCCTGTCTGTATGTGGCTTACATGAACAGATACCTTTTAAGGCATTTTCAGACCATACCTTTAAGAAATAATACTACTGCACTAAAATGGTGAACATGCAATCTGCTCCACCCTCTATGATATTATTTCAACCATACTAGGTACAGATGTGACAAAAAAAAAGTCACTGTTAAGAAGTGTGAAATCAAATTGCTGTGTATTTCATGAAAACAGACAGCTCAGTTTACTTTGAGTTTACTTACTATGAGGTAAATAGGAAGGAAATCTTCCACATGTCTGAGCAACCCTTTTACCAGATATAACTTTTTAAAATTCCTGTTCTTTTTTCTCTTGATTCTGTGTGCTCCTTCTGCACTTCTCTTCAGTCCTGGATTTCTCAGCTTCTCTGAGCTGAGCTCCTTGGGGATATTCCCTCATGGGGAGCCCCACTTATTTCAGTTCTCTGGGTCAGGACAAAAACTCCAAAGTCTGTTAGGATCTTGTTTCTCGTGTTTATTAGGATGTTATCACAAAACTTGGCAGGTCCC